ACACAATATCTGTACTCATTAATGTTTATTGCATGCTCTATTTTTGTCTTTCGGAATTTAATTATATTTATTAGATAAGTTTTAAACTATATTTTTCAAACACTTCGTGAGCTTTTCTTCGACACATGAAATCATCATCTAGTACTTGTAACCMTTGTCGAACGAATCAAATTCAATTTTTTGATTCATTTCTACAGTTCAGGTGTCTATTTTCGTTGATTGCAGTTGATTGAGTTCAATATTTAAATATGAGAGGAATGCAGTGAATATGTAAACGATTTAGGTAACATTCACTGGAAAAAATCGCGCGCTTAAAGGTTGTAAATTTGATGTAAACATGATGTAAGTGTCCAAAATTCTGTAAATTTGATGTAAATGATTTCCATTAAATTTACAGAATTTTGGACACTTACATCATATTTACATCAAATTTACAACCTTTAGTGCGCGCGATTTTTTCCAGTGATTACAGCAGTTTCGAGGAATGTTATCTCACTTCAAATAAAACAAGACTAGAGACCCAAGTTGACTATGGGTACAAAGAAATTAACGCTGATAATTACACTACTTGATACTAGTCTAAAAGACCTAGTTCTATAGTTATACAAAGTTCTTGTCAGTCCTAWACGATGGAAAAACGTAAGTTTTCAATGCGTAAAATTTTTCATTGCGTTTTCCCCAGTTGCAAMAACGTGCGTCAGCAACGTAACCGTCGACGGAGCGACAACTCGGAACGTTAACGAGGGTACTGGGATATTTACCGTGATGTTAAACAGAAATGGGAACCTGTCGGAGTCAGCTACAATTGAGTAAGTAGGGCAAGGACTGTCAATAGGCTGATTACTAAAGCAGAGATACTTCTCTCCACGCTTGTACTATCCACTCTTATCTGATACAAAAATCTCTGTGGGGARTTGTCGCAAATCGTGGCACGCTTTCCTTGAGAGGTTTTCCACTTCAATAAGTATTTCGCYAAAAAGCACACCAGCTGGCACATTGAGTTTTCAGTTTCCGATTGCCCCCTTTTTATAAGAACATAAAATTCGATTTTGCCCTCTCTGGATCCCCCCTTCCCTCCTGACAAATGTTGCGCATTCCCTAAGTTCACTGGATGAAATATTGGGATTGCGGATGGAATTAGAAAACRAGGTTTATGAATGTTGAACTTAATTTTTCTTTTCATTTTATTCTGATAATTGTGCTTCAATGGGAATGATACATGTCTCAAAAACTCGACTACGCCTCGTTTTTTCCCGTTATCATTGATATCAAGACGTTCTGCTATAATAAATGCTGATTTTTGCAGAGTCTCCGGTCGAGATGGTACAGCAACATCCCCGGCAGACTACACTGGCTTTCCTCTCAACGTTACGTTTGGTGTAAACAGTAGTTCAGCTTCGTTTAATGTAACCATCATAAATGACAATATACTGGAAAACAATGAGACATTTCTCATTGATTTAAAGCCTCCTCGTAATACCAACTTAGTGTGTAATAACATTGCTTCATTGAACGTTATCATACAAGATGACGACAAAGGTAAAAACATGTAAAAGTGACAACAACAACAACAACAACAACAACAATAACAACAACAACAACAACAACAACAATATATATACTCTGCTTTGTCCCGCTCTGATGAGATGTGGTGTGTAGTGATGTGATGTATTGTGGTGTAGGGTGTTTGATGTGACGTTATGTTGTGTGGTGTGGTGTGTTGTTATGTGATGTGATGCGGTGTGACGAGATTTGATATAATGTGATGTGGTGAGGTGTTAAGTGATGTGACGTTATGTTGTGTGGTGTGGTGTGTTGTTATGTGATGTGGTGTGGTGTGACGAGATTTGATGTAATGTGATGTGATGAGGTGTTAAGTGATGGGACG